CAAATGTGAATACCCAAATGTGAATACCCAAAAAGTGGATACACTAAATGTGGATACCCAAATTCGGATACCCAAAAGTGGATGCACCTAATGTGGATAGTGTAGTGTGTTTGTGCTAATAAGTCGTTACCGGGTGTAAGGATATTATGACATCACTCATGTAGAGATGCGTTGAATGTTTGGCTTAGCTTTTTTTTACAATGGAGGATGGACCCTAAACGATTCACATTGCTGTGGTAGGAGTGTTCCTAAGTGATCGGTGCGCAGTGCCTAGGAATGATTCAAGCTGGATTGAAGTGTTGTACCTAGGAATGATCCTAAATGATTGGTGTGTTGTACCTAATCCTGATGTGGATGATTCTGTAATCCTCAAAATCATCATATGGATTTTTGTTTAGTCCACATAATCTTAATGAGAATGACTTAGTAATCCGAAAAACCCGACCCAGGAGATTCAATCCGACCAGTGGATCCGATCGTTTCCGACATCGGATCCTATGGATTCCGTTGAATTCCGACGATTTCCTAACTAACGGATTCCGATCCGGTTTCCGCCGAAAAAATTCCGTTAAGTTCCGCAAAATTTCGACCCGGAATTCGTCGGAAATAGACGGAACCGATGGGACCTGATCAGAAATGGTCCGACAAAATCTGGACCGGAATCCGTTAGTTAGGAAATCATCGGGATTCAACGGAACCGATCAGTTCCGATCGATTCCGACGTACCCTGATTCTCCTGGGGATAGTGAATGTTTTTATAATCCAGAAAATCCATTTGCAGATGGTCTTGTAATCCGGGAAAATCTGTTGTGGATGCATTGGTAATCAAATGGATGTTTTGGTAGAAGGAAATCTCTATATAATCCGGATGAATCTTGGTTGAACTGCATAGGAATCCGGTGGTATCTCGCAGGAAGTCTTTCTGTTCCGACATTTGTCTATAATCGGATCCGATCATTTCCTGAAAGTTCCGATCATCGGTTTCGACAGGAACCGATTGGACCCTTTTCCGGCGTAATACGGGTCGGAATCCGTTAGTTAGGAATCCGGAGTAGTACGGATCGGTTCTGGTCGGTTTTACTACGGAGCTCGTCGGATTCCGGCGTGATTCGATACCGGATCCTATCGTTTCTTGTAAGATGCGTAGGTCGGAATGAATCTCCTGGGATATAGCTATAGTTAAATTGTATTGTACCAAAAAAATATAAGCCAATTGAAAGAACTATATCTTCGAACAAAATTTCAATTTTTTGTATCAACTGTAACACAGATATTACACGATTAAAATTCAATTGGCTCTCATATAGCAAAAAAATATGCTCCTTCTTTTTCTTTATGTCATTCTTCTATTTCCGTTCCAATGAACACAAGGAAGTCCCCCTTTGCACATACAAAATTGACGGAAAGAAAATACGGCAGCCAATGAATAATCATCGAATTGGACTGTGCATTTGTTTTTCACTTTTCATGAATAGACTCACCTATTCTATTTTATCATGAGAGAAGTCATTAGAAGAAAATAATAAACATATATAGGTTGGTCTTTGGTAAAAGCGCCATAGATATAACAAAAGATGAATCGATCTAATGTTCATCTTCTGGATCTGCCAAATGAAATATTACTTACTATTTTGAGAAAATTGAATAATATGGATGTGCTTTATTCATTACTGGACATTAATAATGGACGACTTGACATCATCATGCAAGAAAAGAGAGGTATGTTCAGATTTCCGAGAAAGAAAATTACAGAAATTTCCGAAGCTTCCATCAACTCGATTACTACATAGCAAAGCAAATGAAAATTTTTTGAAAATATTTGAAAGTTTAGAAATTTCGGAATCTTCTGTAATTTCGGAAATTTCGCTTTGTACAGAATTTTGGAAATTTCAGAAATTTCGGAAATTGTGTAATTTTGGGAAATACCAAACAATTTAGAACACAAGTACTTGAAATTTCCAAAACTTCCGAAATTTCCTTTTTTGGAAGTCTGAACACTGCTGAGAAAAGACGTTCACTAATATTCTCAATTTCGTACATATTGATGAAATTTCTTTAATTGATCGCTTCTGCATCTACATATTACCAAGGATTCATCGTAATATCAAATATTTCATTCTTGAACCAATTTTCATGGAACGTATTCTTCTTGCTGCCGTTTATCCAAATCTAACTGAACTTAAACTCT